GAGATGAGACGCGCTCAGCCCCGGTGGGCGAAACCGTTGCTTCTCCAGGCCATGCCGAGATTGATGCTGAGGATGGGGCGAACCCGGCAACGGGTATCATTGTACGCTTTTTACACAGCGAGCCCCGAACCGGACAGAACGGGCAACTCTTTGCTAATTTGCGATGCGGCGATTAGGATGCTGACGACGGAGAAACAGACTCCGCCATCAATGTCGTACGTTGCCCAGTATAGTTATACCGCAACCGTTTTAATGAGAGAACATGATTCGCGACAGAGCCTCATTTCAGGGTACGAGTTAATAGTAGTTATGCTTACCATGTCTCACTCTAGTCAATCCGCGATTCTCTCACTTCCATTCGCTCATCCATCCTTAATTTTGAAGATGAGAATGGACGTCTCTATCACTCTCATTCCCGAGGCAGTAAGTCTCTGTATTGCATATCTAACAGCTATGAGATTGAGCCTGGCCTGATACGTGCGCAGAATACTACTTTCCCCATGATAACGTAAGTTGAGACCGCCACAATGTATAGAGGTAAAAATGTATGTCATATAGCTGATGAGACATTAATAGGTTGAACAAGAGCGTTTGGATCTACAGCACGAGCTCTTCATGAGGACGTTCAGAGGGCGCCTTTGCACATGTCCAAAGTCTTACGGTGCTAACAGAGTCCTGGACCTCGGAACGGGAACCGGAATCTGGGCTCTGGAATATGGTCAGTCATGTGCGCATGGTACATATGATTAGCCTGACTAACGGTCGATTAGCGGAGGAGCATCCCGAGTCTGAAGTGATCGGGGTGGATATCAGTCCAGTGCAGCCTGACTTGTAAGTGACGCCACATATGCTTGAAGCTGCCACTCACTGTCGAGGTCATGACCGCTGATAATCTTCAAGTATGCCTCCCAACTGCTCTTTTGAGATAGATGACCTGGAGAAGCCATGGACATGGTCAAAACAATTCGACTTCATCTTTTCTAGGACTTTGAGCGGCAGCATTCTGGACCCAGCCAAGCTAGTTGACAGCATTTACAAGTAGATCGTCCCTAAATATCTCCATCCCAATGGCAAGCCCGCTATTCTAACGCCTGATGATATAGCCAACTCGAACCCGGCGGCTGGTTCGAAGCACAAGATGTCTGCATGGAAGCTCGGACCGACGACAACACACTACCTGAGAACAGCTACTTGGCGCAGTGGGCCGATGAGGTGGTTGACGCTATGGAAAAGATCAATCGGACTCTCAAGCTTCCACTCAAGTGGAAGCAGCTTCTCATCGATCGCGGCTTTGTAGATGTCCGAGAGACCATTTATAAATGGCCAACCAACACTTGGCCACGAGACAAGACGATGAAGGATATTGGCGGATGGGGGCTAGCCAATCTTGACTACTTCCTTGAGACAGCAGCTCTCGGTATCTTGACCAACATCAAGGGCTGGTCAAAGGAGGAGGTCATTGTTCTGTGCTCGCAAGCAAGAAAGGAGATGCGTGATCCGAGGATCCATGTTTGGTGGCCTGTGTAAGTTTTCTCGTTGCGACGGAAATCATGTGGAAATTTGCTCTCAGCGCTATTACTGACTCAAACTGCTAGATATGTCGTTTCTGGTCGGAAGCCAGGAAATTCAACTCAGGCGCCTGTTGAGCCCTCGACAGCTTGAGTTGCCTGACGTCGTCAAACGATGATGGCCACCAGTCATCATCACTCGTCAGGGGTCCATCCAAAGGCATCCCCGAAGAGTCTCTTGATACCTATGAAAAGACACATGAGGTCCGACTATTGCGGCTTATGCCTAATAATTGTGATGGAAATCTGCTTTGAGGCTGTCCTGTGTCGACAGAAATTACTTTGAGGAATGGCTTCAGCCACTCAAATTCCAACGTTCCCTTTACAGAGTGTGAACCCCGCGGTAATCACACAGAAGCTATGCGCGTCTAACAAGATCCGCTAAGCTACAGTTCATCTGGTCTCTCTGAGCCAGCTTCAGTGCCTTGATTTTCTTGCTGATTGCGCTTCTGACTGTTGAGATTTTCAGCCTCCACTCTTTTTCAGAGACCATTGTGAGATCGGAACCAACTTACTCTCTTCGTCTGTACATATACCACATAAGTGAAACGCTAATGATAGCAAGGCCTCCGAAAAGTATGAGGATTTGATAACCGTACTTGTACTTCGGCGCATCATAGGTAGGAAATAGAACCACTAGGAATTTGTTAGCACAAAAGACTTGAGTGGTAAATTCCGGCTAGCGGCTTCAACTCACAGGGTACCCAAAGAACCCAAGCGTAGGAAACAACATTTGCGGTGGCCACAAGCAGTTGTCTGAGACTCGGATCTCCCGCGTTAAGTCGATTGGCCCAGCTCTTTACTTTGTGTCAGAGTCTGTCGTTCAAGTGGTTTCTGTGGGGTACTCACGATGAGGACTGGAGTTGCCGCGGATCCAGCATACGAAAGGTAGTACGCAAACATCAAGGCCCCCTTGGGGATATACCACACAGAAAGCAAGATGTTGGACAGTATCATCAGGGCTTGAACAATGACAATCATTGTATAGTTCTGTCCGGTTCGGTCTGCGATTATACCCCAGATGACTGTGGCAACGATGTTCAAAGCACTGCCGCCAGTAGGGTAGATGTTTGCATCTACAACGCTGTAGCCAGCAGACTTCAGCCAGAGGTTGAAATAGCTGGTGGCTGTGTGACACGCCGCGACCATACTGCCAAGTTATGTGAGTAGGATGCGACGCAGTTGTACTTCTTCGGGAGTATAACTTACGTGTACGGTACAACAAATACCCAGATCTCCCAACCGAGGTAGATGCGTTTGGCTTCCTTCCATGTCAACTTTTGCTGAGCCTTCTGCCCGAACTTCTCAATCCTATCGATACCATGTTTGACATGCTACGAAGAGTGAGTCAGGCATGTTCATTTACAATAGTGACGTGGAGTACATACTTCAGCTGACCAGTAGAATGCTTTCGTGTTATGCGGCAGATCAGGCAATCCAAAGAAGCCCCAGAACGCAATTGGAAGCGAGATGATGGCGTCCATGATGAACAGCCATCTCCACCCTGCAATCCCATGACGACCATCCATGCTGGTGTATAGTCCTGCTTGCAAATAACCGCTGAACATACTGGCAATGGATTCAACTTGCAGGAGTATAGCTAAGCGCTTAGTGAGCTCCTTTGGGCCGTACCAGCCACCCAGCATGGCGATGTATCCCGGGAAAGCACAAGCCTCGAACAGACCGATAAAGAAACGCAAAGCGTACATCTCGTACCGAAAGTTAGTGATATGGGCCATGCTATCTTCTATGGCTTGTACTTACCGTCTTGATATTCTTGGCAAACCCCATGCCGATAACAAGCAGCGACCAGATGACCTCGCACGATGGAATAAGAATCGAGGGTCGGATGAAACTGAGTTGTGACATTTGAGCTGGGACACTGCCGACCATGATGCCTAAACTGAACCAGGTGTTCAGCCAGTTGCGCTCATTTCCGTAGAGGCCCAGGTCAGTCTGCATGCCACTGATGAACGCATTGCCTGAAGATCAGGGTCAGTAATCCTCAACTTCACAAGCTAATAAGTTTGGCTTACTGTAATTTGTTTGATCAAGGTACTTTATGAAGTAGCCAAAACAAACAGTAGGACTGGTGAATAGAAGGAACTTGTTAGTTCTGGGAGAGCAAAGCCGCACCACACATGGCAAGAGATTGGACTCACAAGAAGAAAGTATCGAGCCTTTGAACGTATTTCCGGTACTCTGGATCTCCATCAACAGAGTCCCATACAAGACCGACAATCTTGCGCCATCGGGAGGGGGTTTTCTCGGGGATTGCCTCTGCGGTGTTTTCTGGGGTCGTGTCTTTGGCGTTCTTGTCCAAATCCGAAGTGGTTTCTGCCACTTCCACAGGGGCAGCGGACTTGATATCCGACATGTCGGTCAGTGATTGGTACCTAGAGAAAACGATTCTGCACGCTCGTCCCAGCAATCTGGTTAGACGCTGATGTTCGGTCGACTTCAGATCGCTATATACTTTGGCTTCCCCAAGAGAAACGATTTTTTCCGAAGCACCTAACCGCATTGAATTAAGTCATGGATATGGCTGATTTGAGCTAGAAAACTTCCTATGCCTGATTTGCTACTGGTGAATGATGCCATTATAATCCCTGTGAGCGAGCTCACCTCCTTGACTCCTTCGGACCCGATTTTGTTCCAAACTAGCCTTAGATGTAATCTGCATGTACGCGCAGACAGAATCTCTTCCATCTGGCGGCTTTTCGAAATGAATGACAGTGCCTCAAGGAAGTCGTGCCGTTCTCGGATGTTGCAGCAGAAGGAATCCAATGTCATGGCTGGCCGCCCCACCATGTCGTTATCTCACTCCGCTCTGTCGCCTTAATTGCTGTCCGGCATCTTTGCCGGTGCTTGACAACTTCCCGGCAAACTTGATTGCACTAAATCTGACCATTTCACAGAGAAATTGACTTCATTTGGATGTGAAAAGCCAGAAAAATCTCACTTTACAATCTGTCAACCTCAGTTCACGAAGAAACCCTTCAGAGGAAACATCGCAGTATCTGAACTGTTCATTAATAATGTTGCATTGGGAACAAAAGGCAATACTTCGATTACATAGGGGCACATGATAATCGGTCGGAGCGTTTGAGTCGTGCCTTGTGGAAGGTGATGATAAGTCGACTCTCATTTTCTGTCCATTAAAGGCACGGTATCCATGCCCGGCTGCATCCTGGAGCGATTTAATTCAACCGGACTGTCCATGTATCCACAGCTCTTCCGACAGGGTACTTCCTCCTCTCTCCGCGATCGCAAGGTAGCTTGGATGTTCTACTCATTCCGGTATTTTATCATGCCCGGCAACGCTAAAGTGCTGATACCGTCAGTTCGAATTGAAGACAGTCTGGCAGGCATCCTATTAATCAATTACCAGAACCTCCACGATTAGAGGACGCTCTTCAAACTCTTTACATCATGACGCCAGAAGTCCTACGACTTTCTTTAGAGAATGTCGATTTCCGACTTCCGACACAAGTCACAGACGACAATAGTGTTACAGCACTCAAAAGTTTAGTCTTTGAGCCCCTCCTCCGATGGCAGTCCCATGGCCGCGTTGAGCCCGGGCTTTTTGACCGATGGGAGCGGTCCCCCGATGCCCGAATCTGGCAGTTTCACATCCGAGAAGACGCCTGCTTTCATGATGGCGAGCCTTGCAAGGCTCAAGACATCGTCACTTACATCAATGGCCTCCTGGACTCAAGAGACTACTTTGGCATGCGCTGGAGTTACAGCCGCTATTTCTCGCAAACCAAGTTCTCTGCCGAGGATGATCGGACTGTAAAGGTGACAAATGCGGAACCATTCGCGGATATCGAGGGTATCTTCTGCGAGTTTTGGCCTTCTCGCATCGACAAGAATGGCAAGCCGGTGCTTGGAACGGGCCCATTCCGTGTCATCGAGTTCGAGCGGAAAGATAGCACGGGTAGAGCCATTTTGCAGCGGCTGAATCCGACGCGACATGGCTCACCTCATACTATCATAGCGACGATGGAACCAAATGCTGCCGAAAGACTTCGGCTTCTGCGTGCTGGAGAGGTCGATGCTGCCCTCAATCTGGAGCGGGTAGCTAATCTTGACCTTCTCAATTTCGACTCTGGATTTCGATGGGGAAGAGTGGCAAGCACCCTATCGGCTATTTACTATCTCAACTGCACGGATGGTATCTTTACTTCACCAGACGCACGTCTGGCTGTGAACCTTGCGTTGGACAATGACGCATTGGTAAAGGAAGTATACCATGGGTTCGCAAAGTCATCCGCTACAATCGTCAGCCCCTATCATCTTGGCTTCCCAGAATCACAATTGCAACACATTCCCTACGACCCCGACAGGGCCAGGGATCTCCTGAAAGATTTCGACAAAGGCACACATCTTGTCTTGAGAACCCCAGTTTACATGCCAGAGCATGCCCAAAAGATCTCGAAATTCGTGGCATCATCCTTGGAGGCCGTTGGCTTTCAGGTCGAAATCAAGGTTGAGACCAATAGACCAGAATATGCTCGCCAAATTGGACTCAAAAAAGAGATTGGAAGCCTCGCGTTGTTTGACTCAACCCCAAACAGCACGTTTCGCGTTTTGGATGATAAGATCTCCAGTTCGTCGCGTGCAACTTGGTGGCTTGGTTATCACGATGACAAGTTGCAAGAACTATTTTACGAGGCGCGAAACAAAATTAAGTACGAAGATAGAGCGGAAGCATATGCGAAGACTCTGAAAAGGTTACAGCAGAATCCTCCATGGCTGTATATAGGTCATCCTGACGTTATTTGGGCAACAAGACACAATGTTGGACTTCAAATTGGGCATTCGGGAATACTCACACTCGATTAGTGAGCCAGAACTTTAGGAGGAAAAGAGAACGTTGTAGAAATCATTGAAGGCTGCAACAGCATTCATCTTTCTGTGGTGATACTTGAGCTTACATGTATTTATGAGCAAGAGCAGGAGGATATGAATCTTCTTCACATGAGGTGTATCAGCGTGGCCTTCTCATTCGAGGCCAACCTTCTTGATACCGTCTTTCTGAAGTTATCCCGATAGGAGTTCTTCCTGCGGAACCTCCGCAATGGGCCCGAAGACTCGGATCCACTCACATAACGCCTCGGTATATAAGTCGGCCGATGTCGCCGACTGCGCTGCACGTTTCAGTCCGATACTTCCTTGATCGATGCATGTAACTTTTCAAGCTTGCAATGAGCACCTCGGTATCCATCAGCAGCCTGCAAGCGGCGGCTAAAAGATATGGCACCGAGCCACTCCTAGTCTTACCAAATGGTGCGACTGTCGATTTATCGAAAGGTTACATCCCACTACTCGCACGATACACTTTCGAAGACAAAGCCGCCCAAGGTCTACGGAAGCGCAAGGCCGGTGACAAGCCTGAAAATCCGATTCACTTCTCTGTTCTTGAGCTAGTCCGCGACAACTCGATCTTGCTCTTGACGGGACCCAGCGGGAGCGGGAAGACTACATTTGCTAAGCACCTCTGCCACGGCCTAGCTTCCTCTGGATTCAGCAATGCGCGACCACTACCTCGAAACGACCTAGGTGATATCAAGGAAGAGAATTGGGGTGCCAGCAGATTGTCTCCGTGCTATTTCTCACTGAGTGGTACCGAGTCTCTGAAACGGTTGGCTGATGTAACGATTCCGCAACTTCTTGGCGCATCTGGTTCTCAGCACGAGCATCTGCTCATCGTCCTCGATGATCTCCAGACCGCAGGGGATGAACTGATCTCTGTTCTGGCAAAAGCACTGGCCCTAATACGAGAGCGAACCTACACCAAGCTACTCTTGCTTGGCGATACAGATGTCCTTGACCGCTGGAGCTTCCCGGCCGTCGTCCGACACGAGTTGCTTCCCTTGCTAGAGTGTCAAAGAAGGGAGGCAGTGCGTTCTCACCTGAATTTGGATCCGTCGACTCTCATAACAACTGGCATGGGTGAAGCTGCGTCGAACCCGGCCATGTTTGCTCTCGCGGTTCAAGCCAATCACTCTGGAAACTGTGCCGAGGAGCTGCTAGATGCGTGGCTTTCGTTCACCCACTCGCAGCCAGATGCTGCATCGCTTCTGGCAGAGAGGTCATACAAGCTGATATTCCACGGCTCATTGACCACCGGTCCGACTGAGATGTCGTTGACCGCGTTTCAGCCCAATCCTGCCTTGCGAAGCCTGACGGTGCAACGGCTCCTAGCTGCGCGGCACCTAGCTGATTTGACACCGCAAATCGCTGTCGGCCTCTTTCGTGATCAGCCTCATGCTTCGGATGATGTTCTAAGAAGCTGCTTGTCGCGTCTCAGCTCCTTACATAGGTCTGGCGTCCTTGTCGACGGGCTCCTCGGGGGCACACCAGCTGACGCTAAGCGCGCTGCCTTACTGGTGGCTGGCCTTTTTCCATTATCCGCGGAAGTCGAACGCAAGGTTATGAAGCTGCTTCTGGAAATCGTCGAGAACGGAGATTGCTCGGCTGGTGAACGCGAGAAAGCCGGTCGTCTACTGTCAAAGTATGGCGACCCGCGAGATCTGACTGAACTCGCAGAGGTTCCCGCCGGAAGCTTCATGATGGGCTCTGAAAGTCATCCCAATTCGCAGCCTCTGAGTAGAGTTTCGCTCGAGAGGTTTCGCATCGGTGTCTATCCTGTCGTCAACAGAGACTACGCCGCCTTTGTGAAGGAAACTAGCCGCGAATGGCTCAGTCCTGGTGGCAAGGACCCGGAGAAAGCAAATGCACCAGCGACCGATCTTACATGGCATGATTCAAGGGCTTACTGTCAATGGCTCACAGAAAGGTGGAGAGAAGAAAAAAAGATCAGTTCGAATGAGCACGTGAGGCTTCCTTCAGAGCCAGAGTGGGAGTGCGCGGCCAAGGGTGGCCGAAATGAGACGGACACTGAAGGGTTGGCTTTTCCTTGGGGCACAGATTGGCAGGAACATACTGCCAATAGCGACGAGACTGGCTTCAATACGACCTGTGCTGTTGGTCTCTTCCCAAGGGGGCTCTCGCCGTACGGCTGCCACGATATGGCGGGGCATGTATGGGAATGGTGCTCAACTCTCTGGGGCGAGGACATGACGATGCCAGCTTTCCAGTACCCTTGGCGGGATGATGGGCGAGAGTCTTTAGATGCCTCGGACCATGTTCGAAGAGTACTGAGAGGCGGATGCTTCTCGAGTCCCAAGTTGAAGGCAAATTGCACGTATCGAGGTAGCCTCGAACCAACAGGATTCTGGAGAGGCAATGGGTTCCGCATCGTTGTTGCGCCGCTAGACTCACAAGACTAAAAGAAAGCAGACAACTCCTAACTTTAAACCTTTCATGATCGATACTGGAAAGACTCTCAACAATTAGACTCATGCTCAAACTGGTTATTCCTGGCTTCATCTCGTTGTGTCAAAGATCGGCAGAACGCCATCACGTTTGCCGGTCATGCCGGTATTCGGCGGGTCCAACTTCTAGTGTTCCGGCACGATGGATGCAGCTCAGACTCGGCCGGTGTGGGGGGCAATTGCGGGATCTAGTCAGAAACACAATAGTGGATAAGCATCGCGTCATGTTGCCTATGTCTGGGAGTCTGGTTCATATACGTGCAGCTTGTCTATTTGTCCGCTTGATCTCTGTCAGTCTGTCTAGGCAGATGGTATTCCTAACATTATTCTCAAAAACTGATGATTAGGTAGTTCAAGAGTTCGAAAACATACCTGGCAGGTACCGAGCTCGATCGAACGTGTCGGCCATCTTCCGCGAATATGCCGATTATTTCCGATTTCAAGCTTCCGGAGGATGCGAGCGCCCTAGGACGGTATACGACAAATTCCACAGCCCCCTATTTCATCACATTCACTACGTCGGACCATCCTGATACGGGAGAGTCATGGTGTCCCGATGTCCGAGCTGCACTCCCTCGCATCATTGCCGCCTTCTCGCCTTCAAGCGCACCGGAGATGGCCTTCGTTGAAGTAGGACAGCGGCCTGAGTGAGTAGCTGGAAGCTTGAGCTTCACAACTTGTTGGGGCGAGTAAGCTAAATATTAGTGGCAAACCAGGTGGAGAGTCTCTACAAATGTGTTTCGCACCAAGTGGAACGTCAACAACGTGCCGACAATTGTTCGGTTTGAGCTTTCAGATGGCGAACTGAAAGAGACGGCTAGACTGGTAGAAGGCGAGATACTGGATGAGAAGCGATTGAGAGGACTAATCCGCAACAATCAATGAGATGTTGACCTTAGATAGTGAGTACCTAGCCCTGAACTCCCACTCACCCGCGAGAGGGCTGGAAAGTAAGCTTTCAGGCGTGATGTAAGCGCCATGGCAAAGCTTGTTTTCCTGGCCAAATGATCACCATCTTTGCTTTCCACACAGCACCATCATCGCATTTCTCGGCTAAGGTGGTGATTAATCCAGGCAGCAGCATCTGATTTACCGTCTTAGCCGCCTATTCAAGCTTGAAATGACGAGCCTGTGCCGCTCGCTAACATCGATCGGTACTAGTCTACTGAGCCAATCTCGGCCGCATTGGCTCCCGTTTGCTGGTGCTGAGGATCAGGGGCAAATATGAATCCTTCGGAAAATTCTCAGTCATCGTCAACAAACATCGTGTTCTGATGCGTGTCGTTCTATTCTAAAAACTCCTTTCTCGTCTTCACAGATCGTAATTTTACTTTTCATAATCGCCTATTATTCAATCAGCGTTTCTCCATCAGTCGCTCGCTACAGATCTACGACCAGTCTCTCTACGCATCGAACATGATCTCATCAACATTCCTCTGCCCAATGGGCGTTTTGCTAGCAGGCGCGTCGCGTGCCTTGGCGTTCGACCGCATTAGCATACCGACCACGGTCAAGGCTGACACCGACGTCGAAGTCACCATACAGAACGACATCGCATCCGGTAGCAAGTCTTTCGACGCCGGTTTTACCAACTACAACCTCTACCTCTCAACCACTCCACCGGGATGGGGCACCGGCCCCGTGTGCGTCCTCGCCAACGGGACAAAGATTGACGTCACCTCCGTGAAGGTGAAAATCCCCGCCGACGCGATCCCTGACGGTTCCGACTTCAAGATCACCGCGATGGAGTGGAACTCGGATCCGACCAAGGACGGGCCCTCGGGCTTCGAATACAGCAACGACTTTTCCTTCTCGGGCGGTACGGGACAATGGGGCAAGACGGAGCTCGGAGGGTCCACGCTGGGCGACATGGATCGCATCCCGTGCACGGCGTACGCGTGCGCGCGCAACTGCAATGACAAGTATTTTGACGAGAGGAACACGACGAGCGAGGATCCTAGTGTCTACAAAAACACATACGAATGCGTCGCCGCATGTCCCGGCACAACTTTCCCGTCCTGGGATTCAATCATCAACGATAACGGGGGTGGGCAGGGCTCAGGCTCCAGTGCGGGGCCCTCGGGAAGCGCTTCGGCAACGGCAACGAGATCCGGTGCGTTGGCGACAGCCTCAACGTCTCCGACAGGGTCTACTTCTACTCCGACATCAGCCCAAAGTAGCAGCTCGCCTTCTCAGACACCTAATGGTGTCGCCTCGGTCACTGCCAAGGCCTCTGGGCTTGTCTTTGCTGGCTTGGCCATCGCGTTTAGCTTTCTCTAGTCATGAATTCGGCGATCATGGGCCATGTACGGATCGTTCGTAGTGTAGTGTAGGATAAATGGTGCGCTATCCGCAGATACTTAGATATTCTTTAATATTACTCATCAAGCCACTAAACATGCACACTATGTACGGTTGTTTTCTCGGCGAGAAATCCCAATGGGGAAATTTATTCCACTCATGATCATGACAAATCCCATATCGCGAGACCGACAATCCGCGGGCATAGAAATGACCCTCCAATGCCTCTGAATTCTAGTAGCATACTGCCATGTCCCACGTTGATGCGTCGGCCTAGGACAGAATCAGTAATAATCTCCCGGTGGTTGTACGCACATGCGATCATAGCGACAGTTTCTTGGTCCCCGGACCGAGAACTTAAATAAGTGACAGCTGCATCTACGGATAGTCAGTTGCCTATAGATACAAGCTACAAAGACTGGCCAGGCTTGAGCGATCTTGATCCTCTGATAACTGAACGGTTCCGATGCATACTTTCCTATTTGCCCACTACACGCGCGCCAAGGCAGCAGGAGCATCCCACATCGCCAATGTAGTGTCTATGGCTCTTACGAATGCAGACCTACTAGTGCCTCGGTTCGGGTACACCGTACTATAATTGTTGCATGCAACCTCATTGAGATACACGCACCTCAAGCTGTTGTTGATCAAGGTAGCATCAAGAGGTCCACCTAGTGAATATTTGCCAGATAACTACCTTAAAGTGGCACCGACACATTCCGATTTATGACTGTTCAAGAGGCAGCTAAGCTACCCATCTACAGTTTGCCTCCGACCAAGTGGCTCCAAACTCATACTTCATGGGCTTGAAAATCATGCCGAATTAGTAATTATCATCCTTAGCCTCAAAGACTTAAGAATTGAATGCATGCTATGACTCAAGACCACTGTGAGTTTACCACAAGTGCACGAAAACATAGCCGTGTTTGCCGTTGCAGAGGCGGCCGCGGGTAATAGTCGGTGAGTACCTTGATGATTATGGCAGCCCACATCGAGTGCCCAGTATTGCGTATATTCAAAGTAAATGACGAACACGACGAATTCCTTGTGTGCGTATCTTACTCGAAGCTTTTCGTTTTCGTCAGTTTTTGATAGAGAGGTAAGTGCAGAGTCTGCATGACTATTGCCGAAAAATAGCCCCGGGATCCAGTTTCCGAAATATGAACCCACGGAACTGTCTTGAATTTAGCCAGAAGAAGCACTTGCTCATGGTACCAAAGAGAGGTGCAACTCTGGTCGCACGGTCGTATCTTTGTATTCTTGCGAGAAGAAAAAATAACCAAGAGGAAAGAGAGAAGTTTGACACTCGCTCGATGCAATCCAATATAATTAGCGGACGTACAACTGTCGGGGCATGAGGTGCTTTTCGAAGTTCAGTATGCTCTGAATCTCCAAGTCTGCTTATGATGTACCTGCAGGGCTTGTTGGAGCTAGACCGGACATAACTCGCAGTAAAGCCCGTATGATGACATGGAACATAGAATTTTGATGCACTCCGCCTAACCCACAACCTATTCATAGAACGTAGAAACCCAGATCAGGTAAGCGTTTCGCAATGAAAGGTTTGCCTTTACACAGGATTACGATGGACCGTTGCCGATTTCGATAGAATTCGGCCACATGTTAACTCCGTCTTACTGATGTTCATTGTTCAACTCATTGGCATTGTGGATTTCATATGACTTTGACATCTTGGATGATGGGCCTGGCGGAAATTGAAACAGGGGACTAAAAATTACAATGTACGTGTAGATCCAACGGTACGGAAACTGTACATATCCTGGCCTGTTTTCTTGGCGTTGGTGGTCGAGATGGGATATTATCCGCCGAGTCTCTACCAGATGTAGCTGGCAAACTGACAAATCGCCACTGCATTTCGGTCTCGCTTCCGACCAGTTAGCATAACATCGCTCCTAAAAAGTTTGAGCTGCCCTGCTAATGTCTGCGGAAAGTCCGCTCTTTACATACAAAACTGCACCGGCCGGGCTTTAACCTATTAGAGTCTAAACAGCTGCCCCTGTTTTTGCTCGTCCAATCCAAGCCCGTGCGTCCCCGCGAGCTCCACGGATTCCGCGGCTCACAAAAACAAAAAGGCTCGAAGAACCCGTAAGGAAAAGGGAAGCTGTAGGCGTACGGAATCTCAGCCCGACCCAGTAGTCTAAGGGCATTTGTCGAAAGGGCATCCTCATACTTGTAATTCGGCGACGTGGGCTTTCCGTCACATCATGGATCCGGAGCCGCATATGCCCAAAACAAGCGTCATTCCTAGAGCTGTATGCCTTCACTTTCGGAATCCGCGCGCCTGGCGGCCGAGTATGCTAACTACCGGTATCCCACTCTAGTGCCACAACTGTCGGATCCGTAAGGTATTCATAATTCTATGTCCGAGTCCCCTGTCGTCAATAGCCGGCCGAGACCTTCCGGACCTGATCCGTCGCACGCGTTCCGCGCCATCTCCTCCGCGCTCCCATTCGCTTAGCATTCGAATATTCACAATCGCCCAGCTGACGAGTAGGGTTCTAGACACGCTGCAATCGAGAGGTTCCATGTTCCAACTGCATCACATCGAAGATTCCATGCCGCCCGGCAGGGCGACACACTGCACCGCGGCCAACAGTTGAGAGGGCCGAAAGGTACCGGTGACAAATGGCGCCGTAACCGAGTTATTTTGGGTTCGAGCTGACATTTCAGCCGCAGCCACAGTCCTGGTGCGCCGACAATTCATCAACTGCATGAGAGATTGAAAGCCGTCGAAGAATCTCTCAGGAACCAAAATGACCAGCACGCCAATAGGGCGACATCGATCTCTACGCCAAATACGATCCCGACCATTGAGGATGATGCAGTCTCACATCACTGTCTGTGGGAAGACCACCATGTCTCGTACGAGGGCGAATCTTCATTCAGGCAACAGACTCTACTTGCAAGTCAGATAGAGGAACTTCGACTTGAAGAGGCGCAGAGCCCGGGCGTGATCGACGAGCTTGCAACGTTACGAGGGATATGCCAACGACAAGAGACCCCCGTAGAATCGCGATCGAACCGGAAGATTCGCCAGCCTCATTCAACAAAAGGGGCAGAGTTGCAGCTTCCACCATCCGATTTCGTGATTCGTCTTCTTCGGACTGTGAGCCGTAAGTTGCCGCAAGCTGGCTTTCAATCTCAGCCGAGAAGCTAAGCCATCTTCAAAAGCAGATCACTCCATCTTGTTCCTATTCTACGCAGTCGAAAATCGCATTCAAGTCGAAGAGCTCTGTCGAAGGGTGTACTTCTCTGTAGAGCCAGTGACGATTGGAGAAGTCACCTTGCTAAACGGCTTCTTATCGGTGCTCCTCAGGGACATCGATTTCGAGTTAAATCCCGAATTCAGTCCGGAAGAAGCCAACCGGCTGTACACCATGTGCAACTCCAACTTCAAGGCTGGAGTCGAGACTTATGAAGTCATGGCGGTACCTACATTCGAGCATACTCTCATATTATCCATAGCGGTCAGTAAAGCGCGAGTCTGGTCCGTGTTGTATCTTCGAGACGGTCGACCATGTGAACTGACTCGAGTTTCGGGCATGTAGTGTCTAAAGGCACAG